CATCGCTGGGACTTCACCAACATGATGGTGAAGGAGGCGTTGGCGAGCTGGAAGGGCGAGGCGGTGAAAGCGGCAATGGACGAGGAAATCAAGAGCCTCATTTCCAACGGGATGTGGGAGCTGGTCGAGCGTCCGCGCGGAGTCGACATCATGAAGAACCGCTGGGTGCTCACGACGAAGTACCACGTCGACGATACGGTCGCCCGCGAGAAAGCGCGTCTGGTGGTGAAAGGCTTCACGCAGATCTACGGCGCAAACTACAAAGAGACGTACGCGCCAGTGGGGAGCTACGTAACTCTGCGAATCTTTCTCAGTGTTGTAGCAGTTCTCGATCTGCACCTGATGCAGCTGGACATGAAAAACGCGTTTCTGCAGAGCAAGCTGGATCGCGTCCTCTACATGTATCAGCCCGACTACTACAACGACGGAACCGGTCGCGTCTGCAAGCTGCTGAATAGCTTGTACGGGCTGAAGCAGAGTCCGCTGCTGTGGTACTCGGCGCTCGACGCGGTGCTGACGGGCGCTGGCTGGCAGAAGAGTCAGGTCGACGAGGCACTCTACTTCAAGGTCGGCGACGACGGAGTGGCGTGCTGGGTGCTCGTCTACGTCGACGACCTGCTCGCCGCAAGCAGCAGCACTGCGATGCTGGAGCTGCTGGAGGCCGCCTTCGAGCTGCGTGAAATCAGCCCGGTCAGGAGGTATCTCGGGCTGGAAATCGTGCGCGACCGTCCTGCGAGGAAGCTGTGGCTGCACCAGCAGTCGTACGTCGACAAGCTGCGTCGGCGTTTCATCGACGAGGAGCAGACCGGGCGAGTGCCGAAGACGCCGGTCTCGGTCGACGCCTACGTAGAGCTGATGTTCGACGACGAGGAGTTTCAGTCGCGCGAGGAAGCTGAGTATCGGCAGAAGGTCGGCTCGCTGCAATTCGCGGCCACCACAACGAGGCCCGACATTGCCTTCGCTTGCAGCAAGCTCGGATCAGGCCTGACGGTGCGGAGCGACAACCACTGGCGTGAGGTCGATCGCTGTCTGCACTACCTCGCTGAAACACGTGACCCCGCTCTGGAGTTCGGCGGCGGACCAGAGTCGCTGGTTTTGGTCGGCTATGCAGACGCCGACGACGCTGGCGACAAGCAGAATCGTACGAGCACTGGCGGCTACATTTTTGTCTTCGGAGGAGCCGCAGCTTCGTGGTCGAGCCAGCGCATCAAGTGCGCAACGCTTTCGTCGACCGAATCAGAGTACGTCGCGGCCACCGAAGCCGGCAAGGAGGCTCGCCGTCTGCGCTTCCTCCTTGCAGAATTCCGCCTGCTCGACCCAAGGAAGCCGACTGTTCTGCACGTGGACAACCAGTCGGCAATCAAAGTCGCAGAGGGCTTGGGGCTCAAGGGCAACCTCAAGCACATGGAGCGACGCTACGCATGGCTGCAGCAGATGGTCAAGCGCGGGAAGATTGCTCTGCAGTACATCCCGACCTCCGAGCAGCCGGCAGATTTTCTGACGAAGGCGCTGCATTTTCCGGCTTTCAACCGGTGCTCTATCACAATCAGCCAAGTGCGTCTGGCCGACGTCGGCGACGGGGATGACGAGGTGCAGCAGTAGGTGCCGTGCCCGTCTGCACGGCTGGTGCGGTGACTTGCGTGCTATGTGTTGGGTGCACGCAGATGGACTTTTCTCCTTGTATTCTATCCCTCTGGGTTCTGGGTGGACCTTGTGTGTGGGGTGCCCAAGCGTGAGCGCGGCAGGGGAGTGTCGAGGGAAATGGCCCTGCCCTCGCTTGAGCGTAGCTGATCTCGCTGTAGACGGGAAGTTCGCGACGGAGCGGTCGACGAAATGGGCTTCTGCAGTTTGGCGGAAGTTTCGGTCGAGCAGGCTCTGCGCGACAGATTCTGGTCGACGAGCTCTGCGCGATGAGCTCTGGTCGACGATCTCTGCGCGGCGAGCTTCCGTCGAAGAGCGCTGGTCGAAGAACTCTGGTCGAAGAGTTCTGGTCGAGAAGTTTTGCTCGGCGAATTCTGTTCGACCGAGCAGAGTCGAGCTGATCGACCGAAGTTGCAGAGTTGTGCGAAACTCTGCGAAGGCGTGCGAACATTCGCCCAGGAGATTTTGGCGAAGTTCTACCTGCAGAACGGCATCACGTGGTCGACGGTGCGCACCTGGCGAAACCGACGACACGTTTTCTACCTGGCACCTGCGCAATGTGCCTGACGGTGAAACCGCCAACCGGCACCTACTTGGTAGGTGCGCACATCTGCGCATATAGACAACCTGCGACTGCAGATAGGTACCTGCGATTGCAGATAGTCACCTGCGACTGCAGTGCTGGCAGACCGCGTGCAGTGCAACACTGGCAGACTACTCTGCTGCAGCGTTGGCAAGCCGCTCTTCTGTTGCGCTGGCAGAGTTCGCCCTTGCTAGGTGTTCCATGCCTTTCTAGTCCTTTTGTTCTGCATGCCTCAATTGTACTCTATTCTTTCCTATCAACTTTGTTATTGCAAGTTGTTCTTTCCTTAGTGGAATTCTTGCCAAACTTCTTTGTGAACATAGCAAGCAGTAAGAACGCTAGCAAAGCGCTAAGATCACTTGCACAACCCCGTGCCCTCCTCCGTAGTCCACTCCCGTTGTGTAGTGACTCTCCGCACTTATATCCAGGGTGATACGGTATGATCACCCAAATCATAAAGCCATCAGACATTCAGCATGCAAGTGATCATGCGATGGCACAATCAAGAGACGTACAGTCTTCATTCCATCATGCCAATGTGGTCAGGCTCCAGGATGTTCAGCATTAAGAGACATTCTGAATGTGAGTCATTATGTCATGAGGTGTTCATCATGCAACCTATCATGCCTTGAGTCGTCATCATGCTGTGGAAAAACTCCAGAATGCGAATCATCAGGTCATGATACATTTAGCGTAGAAAACAACATCCTAAGTGGAATTCCTTGTGCACATCATGCCATGGAACACCTAGCATGCATTATGAGGCTGGAAGCTCTCTACAACTCATCACTCTTTTGAGGCCTTCATCATGCAAAATATCATGCGTTGAGATCTCATCATGATTAGAAACATCCAGAATTCTACTTATCACGTGATGACACATTTAGCATCCAAACCATAATCCTATGTGGCATTCAGAATACACATCATGCCATAGGGCTCTCAGCATAATCATCATGGCTTGAGTCAAACAGCATGAAAATAATATAGTCATGACACATACAAGGTGAAATTTATCATGCCATGAAAAATAACATCAAGCATTTGTCATGCGTTGAGATATTCAGCATGCCTACCATTTTCCTATGCGAGCAATCAGAGGTTGATTCATATATTATGCCATTAGACCATAAATTGAGGCATCCAGCATGCAAGACCTCATGCATCCTGACATTCTTTAAGCATATCATCATGCTTCGATATATTCAGTACGCCAACCCAAGAGACATGCAGCGTGCAAATGAGCATGTTATGATGCACTGAGAATGCAAATCATTAAGCCGTATAACATTTAGCCTTCGTTCTGTCATGCCATAAGACATTAAAGCACGCAACTGATCATACTGTGGAATATTCAGCATATGGATATTCAGGGCAATTCACTATGCCGTGAGGAATGCATGATGCAATACGCCATGCTACGACACATTTACCAGGCAATATGGGAGCATGCAATCCATCATGCTTTGATACATTCAGCCTGCAATTCATCATGATGTGTGACGTCCAGCATGAAACCCAATGTATCTTGTCGGGAGACCTTATAGATGAGGATCATCATGTCATGGCGCATTCATCACGCAATACGGTATGTCGTGCATTGAGACATTTAGCGATAGGAGATTCAGATTGCAAATGATCATGCTCGAGATTCAGAATGATAGTCCTCATGTCATGTTACATTCAACGTACAAGTCCCAAATTCTATGTGGCATTCACCATGCAGATTATCATGTAATCAGATGTTCAGCACGCAAATGATCATCTTGTGAAACAGTCAGGATGCAATTTATCAAGTCGCGAGGAACTCATCATACAATACATCAAGCCTTGAGGCAGCTGGCATGCAAGGTCGTTTGGGTCAACTCCGGCCTGCTCCACATTGCAAGTTACCAAGGTCGTGTGCCATGATTTTGACTCTGGTAGCGGCACTGCAAGAGGCCAGTTGCGGCGAAACAGAGTGGTAAGGTTTCCCCGACGGCAGCCACCTTGCACACTTGCCAGCCACAGAGAGATAGTGATGGCTGAGCAGGGAGACTCATGCGGTGAGACTGAGATTGCCAGTGATGGCGATGGTGGTGCTGGTGGTAGGGCAGGCAGGGCTGATGAGATGAGGAAGAGGAGATTGAAATTTAACCAGGTGGCAGCAACAGAATCATGACTGCGGAGCAGCTTCTACTCAACAAGGAAGGAAACAACCTTCAACCGCACGCATCGGAAACAGGAAGCAGTGCTCGGACTGGCCAGATTCGTTCTCAGCACGGATGGAGCATGGGTGATGGCTCCCTAGGATGAACTGCCACACGCAACTCAGTTTCTCACGGATCAACCTCACTCGGCCTCTCACAGATCAACCTCACTCGGCCTCTCACAGATCAACCTCCACTCAGCCTCACAGATCAACCTCCACTCAGCCTCTCACAGATGAACCTCCACTCAGCCTCTCACAGATCAACCTCCACTCAGCCTCTCACAGATCAACCTCCACTCAGCCTCTCACAGATCAACCTCCACTCAGCCTCTCACAGATCAAAACCGGAGAGTGACCGGAGCGCCACCAGAGAAAGAACTGAGGGTGTCCTACGGGTGACGCATAAGCAGCCCATAAACAACCTCCAGCTTGTTACGACCAAAACAAAAACCCAAACACACTCGAGCGTCACCCGAGGGTCACCTGGGACTGACCTGCGACTGACCTGCGACTGACCTGTCACTGACCTGTCACTGACCTGTCACTGACCTGTCACTGACCTGTCACTGACCTGTCACTGACCTGTCACTGACCTGTCACTGACCTGTCACTGACCTGCTTGTGACCAGCAGGTTGCCCTGAGGGCGCAGGTTGCTGCCGGCCGTAAGAGAAGTGGCGGAATCCAGTGCGGTGAATGCAGTGGGGCAGGCAGAAGTCAGTAGAGAGTAGCAGGTGCGGAGATGGGGAAAAGTGGGGTATGAGGGAGTTCCGAATGATGGAGGGAAGTGAGAAACGACATGGAGCCATGCGATGGAAGGAAAGCACGAAGCCTCAGGTGGGCGGGCGACACGTGATTCTACGAAGAATCTGAATCAATGAGGGTTGAAGCAGGCAGGGGATATGTGAGGGGCAGGCAGGCAAGCGACACGTGGCCGGCAAGCTGGCAAGCGGGCGGCAAGTGGGAGGCAGGCAGGTGGGGGAGAAGTGGGTGATTACGAGACGCAGGCGCACAGCTGGAGGGGCAATCATTACGTTTCGGCAGCGGCGCTGCTGGCGGCGGTGCGGCGGCGGGTGAGGCATCCCCCCGGTGAGGCATCCCCCCGGTGAGGCATCCCCCCGGTGAGGCATCCCCCCGGTGAGGCATCCCCCCGGTGAGGCATCCCCCCGGTGAGGCATCCCCCCGGTGAGGCATCCCCCCGGTGAGGCATCCCCCCGGTGAGGCATCCCCCTGGTGAGGCATCCCCCCGGTGAGGCATCCCCCCGGTGAGGCATCCCCCCGGTGAGGCATCCCCCCGGTGAGGCATCCCCCTGGTGAGTCATCCCCCTGGTGAGGCATCCCCCCGGTGAGGCATCCCCCCGGTGAGGCATCCCCCTGGTGAGGCATCCCCCCGGTGAGGCATCCCCCCGGTGAGGCATCCCCCCGGTGAGGCATCCCCCCGGTGAGGCATCCCCCCGGTGAGGCATCCCCCCCTGGTGAGGCATCCCCCCGGTGAGGCATCCCCCCGGTGAGGCATCCCCCTGGTGAGGCATCCCCCCGGTGAGGCATCCCCCCGGTGAGGCATCCCCCTGGTGAGGGATCCCCCCGGTGAGGCATCCCCCTGGTGAGGCATCCCCCTGGTGAGGCATCCCCCTGGTGAGGCATCCCCCTGGTAAGCCAAAGCACCATCATTGTCCGGCTTGACACCCGTGGTGATGCCGACACACGCACATCGCAGGCCCAGCTCTTGCGATTGGACAGCGTAAATTCAACGCGAATCGCGAGACGAGATGGGTCACGGGAGAGCCTGGCGTTGCGCCGGTTGGGGGTCAGGGGAGGGGTAGGAGGTTGGGGCCAGGAGTGGACGGGAGAGAGCGGGGGAGGGGAGAGGGAGCCAGCAATTTTAGAGGTAGGGGTACGGGAACGGAGATTGGGTAAAGGAGGGGGAGGGGTAATTGAAAGGGGAGTGCGAGGGGGTAAGGATATTCCATGGCGACACCTCATATCCTCTTACACATAGCCTCTCAAACATCGCCTCTCTCACACACATCAGCTTCATCCCCCCTCTCCCTCCATTCTTTTGAACCCCCAATATTTTAACCTCTCTCCTTTGAACCCCCATCTTCAACCCCCTTACTTTTAACCTTCCTTCCGCCATCCCCCCTTCATCCCCCCTTCACCATGGCGTGACTGATCAATTATTTCGAACCCTGCGGCTTCGCTATTGGTCGCCGAGCAGACACTAGTAGCGGAGCACTCAAAATTCACCTCCTTCACTCGCACAATCCGCCTTCCGTCGCACGATCCGCCTTCCGTCGCACGATCCGCCTTCCGTCGCACGATCCGCCTTCCGTCGCACGATCCGCCTTCCGTCGCACGATCCGCCTTCCGTCGCACGATCCGCTTTCTGTCGTAAGATCCGCCTTCCAAATCCGCGTTTCCGACTTTCCACTCGCAGGCTGAAGCCGGATTTCAAAATCACTTGAAGATGGAGGTCACTTTCAGTCTCGCTTCCGACCACTATACCGTACGCGATGTGCCATAGAGGAAGAATCCTCCCGGTGTAGCCACAGCCGCTCTCGTGATAAGCTCGGAATTTGCTGACAAGCGAACAGGAGCAATAGAAAATCTGACTCGGATATATTGTACGGACCCTAACCGTGATGCCTCCCGATCTCCCCTCGTCACTCGCAGGTGCACACCGCGTTGGCGATTCCCCGCCATGACCGCCTCTTGGGCCGTGCGCCTGGGCACATGGTGAAGGCTGCGCCGGGTGAGGGGAAATTCAGCTACGTGTCGATTGATGGGGAGGGAGGCCAGTGGTATGGGCGGTGCCTTATGCTCCTCCATTTCAAGGACGGCGAGGATCAGATCCACAGGCGTGCCGTTGTGCGGTATTTCGACGAGCATCCCACTCCATGCCCTATTACAGGATGTATCAGGCTGGAGCCCACGGTGGGGGCGGACGAGTATGCTGTGGTCGAGGTGGACAGCATTCTGTCCCTTGCCCACATTGTCCCGTGTTTCACGGAGCGAAGGTTCTCGTTGGTGAACCGATTCCTGTTCGACGAGTGAGGTGGCAGGGTCAGAACTGTTGGATGTGTCTGGAACAGCCTTCATGGGCACGTGCATGTCGCTACACATTGGACGCATTACGGTTGAGAAGGTCGAACACATTGGACGCCCTGGCTGGCATTGTTGTGTGTGTGTCCTGGATTGCGCTTACTTCTAAACTATTGTGGCTCGAAAGACGCGTTTGTGCACACGCTCTGGTCGAGGTGAGCTCGAATTGTGCTGCTTACTTTGCAGGTTGTGTTTCCTCGAGATGTGTATTATGTTTTCGAGAGTATTGACTTGTACGTGATGTCTAACCATTCGCCACACTACCCCATGGCAGAATCACGGCCGAGCCTGGAGCGCGCTGTAGCCTCTTCACGCTTGCACGCCCCGACAGTCTGACGGTAGACCCGAAATTTCCGGTTCAGACGCGACTTCTGCATTTCGACCCCAAGGCAACTAGTCCGACACACAAGCACACAATTCTCGCAGATAAAATTGTCAAGTGAGTATCCGTAATTTGATTAGCATCTGTGCATTTTGCTGATTGGATCGACGCTAACAGAATTCGTCGAAACCACACCTGTTGAGCAGTTGGCTGGAGGAGCAGCTCTTGACGGAGTACTCAAGAGGGGAAGCGAAATTGACCGGGGAGGCGGAGGAAACGTATCGCGACATTCGAAACCGCATCATTAGCGGCTGGAAGCTCGACAAAACGGCAGTGAGTTCACTGCCCGAATATGTCACTTGTGTTACTCGAAAATAGATACATGTTAACTCGTTGCGAGTTCCGTTTTGTGCAGAAACTAACTCAATCTGTCGGCCAGAGGGAGGTTGGTTCTGGTCTTCACGTGGCATACCAGTGGTGTAAGATGCTCGATCATTTCGACGCGATTCTCCAGCAGCGGAAGAGAGAGGAGAAATTCCTCGTGCTAGGAACACCACAATACCGTCGTGAAGACATTCTTAAGAATTTCCTCACCACCTTTGGTAAGTATTTCGACAAAGGAGTGGGTGGTGATGATGCGGGTGAGGGGGAGGAGTTGGACAACTTGGAGCAACATGGGCCGGTCGCTGAGGACACAGGTGCCCCGCCCGTGATTGACGCGGAAATAGTCGCGTTGGGGGCCATGGTTGCTGACGGCGCACGAATCGATCTGGTCAATGCGCGTCAGAGCGACACGGATGGGGAGCCACCTGTTCCAAGGGAGAATGCGCGCGAAATCCTGCGTGGAATGAGGGAGACGCAGCAGAGGGCCGCACAAGAGGAAACCCAGCGTTGCGGATCGGAGACCCTACAGCAGAGGGAGGAGGGGGCGAGGATGGAGGAGGAGCTTGTAGGGGCTTTACAAAATGTGCACCTTCGGGTCGAGAATGATGAACATGAGGAGGGGCAGGGTTTGGAAATGAGGCAGGGGAGTCTGAATGTCGTTGGAGGCTTGGAGGAAGAGGTGCAGATGGCGGAACGCAACAATACGGTGGTGTATCAGAGGCGGGAGGCACGAACAAAGAAGATGTTTGGGGAAGGACGCGAGGAGGAGGAGGCGAATCAGAGGGAGGAACAGAAGCGTATGAGGCTCGAGGACGAAGAGGGGAAGAGGGAGGAGGATAGGCGGGTTGCGCGCGAAAAAGAGGAGGCGCGACAGAGGGAGGAAAATGAGAGGCTCGAGGAACAGAGGCGTGTTACGCGAAAAGGAGGCGAGGGAGAAGGATGAGCGGGAGCGGATGAGGCAGGAGTCCGAGGAGCGAGAGGCGCGCGAAAAGGAGGCGAGGGAGGAGGATGATTTGGATCGGAAGAGGCTCGAGTCCGAGGAGCGAGAGGCGCGCGAAAAGGAGGCGAGGGAGAAGGAGGAGGTTGAGCGGAAGAGGGTGGAGTCCAAGGAGCGAGAGGCGCGCGAAAAGGAGGCGAGGGAGAAGGAGGAGCGGGAGCGGAGGAGGCTGGAGTCCGTGGAGCGAGATGCGCGCGAAAAGGAGACGAGGGAAAAGGAGGAGCGGGAGCGGAAGAGGGTGGAGTCCGTGGAGCGAGAGGCGCGCGAAAAGGAGGCGAGGGAGAAGGAGGAGCGGGAGCGGAAGAGGGTGGAGTCCGAGGAGCGAGAGGCGCGCGAAAAGGAGACGAGGGAGAAGGAGGAGCGGGAGCGGAAGAGGGTGGAGTCGGAGGAGCGAGAGGCGCGCGAAAAGGAGACGAGGGAGAAGGAGGAGCGGGAGCGGAAGAGGGTGGAGTCGGAGGAGCGAGAGGCGCGCGAAAAGGAGGCGAGGGAGAAGGAGGAGCGGGAGCGGAAGAGGGTGGAGTCCGAGGAGCGAGAGGCGCGCGAAAAGGAGACGAGGGAGAAGGAGGAGCGGGAGCGGAAGAGGGTGGAGTCCGAGGAGCGAGAGGCGCGCGAAAAGGAGACGAGGGAGAAGGAGGAGCAGGAGCGGAAGAGGGTGGAGTCCGAGGAGCGAGAGGCGCGCGAAAAGGAGGCGAGGGAGAAGGAGGAGCGGGAGCTGAAGAGGGTGGAGTCCGAGGAGCGAGAGGCGCGCGAAAAGGAGACGAGGGAGAAGGAGGAGCGGGAGCGGAAGAGGGTGGAGTCCAAGGAGCGAGAGGCGCGCGAAAAGGAGACGAGGGAGAAGGAGGAGCGGGAGCGGTTGAGGGTGGAGTCCGTGGAGCGAGAGGCGCGCGAAAAGGAGGCGAGGGAGAAGGTTGAGCGGGAGCGGAAGAGGGTGGAGTCCCAGGAGCGAGAGGCGCGCGAAAAGGAGACGAGGGAGAAGGAGGAGCGGGAGCGGAAGAGGGTGGAGTCCGTGGAGCGAGAGGCGCGCGAAAGGGATAAGCGGCAGGAGGAAGAGAGGAAAAGGAGGCTAGAGGATGGGAGGCGGGTGGGCCGCGAAAGAGAGGAGGCGCGTCAGAAGCAGGAACGGGAACGGAAGAGAACCGAAAGCGAACGCCGAAGGAATGAGCTGCAAAGGCTCGAGCGCGAAAAACAAGTGGCACGACAGATGGAGGAAGACGGTGAGCAGCACGGTCCGGAGCGCCAGAGGGATCGACGGGAAGAGCATGACCGGCGAGAAATGGGGGGCGCTCCGCAAAGGAACGAACGGCAGAGAGAGGTTGCTGGGTTGGGTGAACAAGGTGCAGGAGGGCAGCGGCGTGGGGATGGAACTCGTCACACGAGCCAGGGCCAGAGGGGCGCGAGGGTCTTTCAAACGCAAGCAGGGCGGGGCTCAGAGGAAGGAGCTCGACAAGTGGTGGTTGGCGCCCAGCCAACCGAGGCGCAGCAGGGGACGACGGTTCGTCGGGCAGCGGATGTTGGTTTAGAGGGGTTGGGAACTGGCGGACCGAGACTGGTGATGCAGCGGGAAGGTGGCCGCCGTAGGGGCAGCTCGACAACGGGAGAATCAGGCGAGGCAGGTGGGAGGACGGGTGGAGGAGGCGCTGGAGAGTGCGGCGAGTGCGCTCCCTATGCAGAGGCGCCATCCACGTGCGGCAGTGAATCCTGCTGCGGTGCAGGCAGAGGAATTAGAGGAGGGTGAATGGGTGGCTGTGGAGACGCAACTGCAGGGACTGGAGAATGCGGGGCCCCAGGTTTTCGAGGAGACAGAAGGAGGATTTGAGGAGACCGGTGACCGCATCGCAGCGGGCGGCGGGGTGCATACTACGCCAGAGTTAATGCGGCGTCTGACGGTGGTGGCGAGGAACGTTGCCAGGATTTCGTCCGAGCAAACTGTTCGCTTCAGCGACTGCATGGCCGAGATTCGCCAGTTTGGTTCGCAGATGCAGGGATGGGACTTGCGCTACTTGCAGGACTACGATGACCTAACGCACGAGTACCACGTGCGAAAGGATTCAGTGGTCCGGGAGCGCGAAGAGCTCGTCCAATTGCGTACTGCACTTTCGACTGCAACAACCGATGCACGAGCGGCAGCAGCTGATGCAGGTCGAGCAGCTGCTGCAGCGGTTGTGGGAACATTGGAGGAAACGTTTGCAGGGTTTTTTGACACGGTTGTGGAGAGGCTCAAGGGTGTGGTGGAGCAGGCGATGGAGGCAGCGTCGAAAGGGGGGAACCTGGAAGCCACTATGGCGCCCGAGTCCGTGAATCACCTAGAAAAGGCATTCGAAGATAGTGTATACACGGTGTGGGTGGATCTCAAAACGTCTGACGACGCAAACAAACAGACCTTCAAGGCCATTCAGAAGGCTCTGGCAGGATTGGCAGCTAAACTGAAAAGGCCTACCGGACCTAACCGGGTCGAGATTCCACCTGCTACAAGGGCAGAGGCCACACCTCGAATTTCGCGCGCGCTGCTCGAGTCAGATTCTCCGGATATCCCTATCTCAGCGGCACAAGAAGTCATGGAAAGGTTTGCCGTAAACTCGGATGGTGAGGCAAATGAGGAGGGTGAGGCGGGCGCTGGTGTGGCGGATCTCGACTTGTCTGGTCCAGTGAGTACAAACTGGAGAGCGTCGTTGGCCGCGAAGGAGTTGCAGAGAGAAAAGGAGAAGGAGAGTGCGGAGAGAAAGGCGGCCGAGCTTCGGAAGCGGACTGCAATTCAGAGGGCGCATGCGACCGCTGCAGAGAAGACGCGGGCTGGGATTGTTGGTAGCAGCGAAAGAGCGGCTGAACACCGAGCGGCGAATACCGCCGCAGAGCCAAGAGAGACGCGTGAAGAGCGAGCAGCTGCATTCGAAAAGAGGCGGAAAGAGGATGAACAGGCGAAGGAGGCCGAGCGGGCCGAGAGAGAGGCGGAGGAAAAACGCAAAAAGGCGGAGGATGATAAGAGGCTACGGGAGGAGCAGACAAAGGAGGCAGAGCAGGCCGAGAGAGCGGCGGAGGAAAAACGCAAAAAGGCGGAGGATAATAAGAGGCTGCGGGAGGAGCAGGCGAAGGAGGCAGAGCGGGCCAAGAGAGCGGCGGAGGAAAAACGCAAAAAGGCGGAGGATGATAAGAGGCTGCGGGAGGAGCAGGCGAAGGAGGCAGAACGGGCCAAGAGAGCGGCGGAGGAAAAACGCAAAAAGGCGGAGGATGATAAGAGGCTGCGGGAGGAGCAGGCGAAGGAGGCAGAGCGGGCCAAGAGAGCGGCGGAGGAAAAACGCAAAAAGGCGGAGGAAGATAAGAGGCTGCGGGAGGAGCAGGCAAAGGCATTGAAGGTTGCTGAAGAGAAGCGGGCGGAGGCTCTAAAGCGGCAAATGGAGCTCTAGCCAGAGCGTGAGAAGATGCAGGCACAGATGGAGAAACTTCGAAAGTTAGAGGAAGCTGCAAAGGAGGAAATGGAGAGGCAACAGCAGGAGTTGGAGGCCCAGAGGGAGAAGATGGAAAACGAGAGGCAACAGATTGCGGCTACAGATGTGGAGGGGGTAGCCGGGCAGGGGCTGGGAGGGGACGCGATTCTTAGCGTGGTTCCAGCGGGCGGGATTCTTCAAGTGGTTCCGGCGGACCACAGCCAGCGGCCTCTTCAAATTGTGGATCTGGCGGGAGATGTGGAGTCAATAGATCTGACAGTCCAGGCTGATTCAGAGTCCCAACCGCGCTCAAAGAAACCTCGCACAGATCAAGCAGCGCCCAACGTCAATGCAGACGCAGACTCTGAAAATGCTGCAGCGTCAGAGGACGAAGTTGAGGCAAGGCAGGAGAATCCTGAAGCGGTGTTGGGAGAAGCGGTGGAAGATGTAGCGGAAAAGGATACGATACCCGACGCACTGGGCAAAATGTGGGGTGTTACCAAGCACTTCAAAAAATGTGGGCTATTTGAACGCTCGCGGGTGCGGAAGGATGGGACGGTGGAGGTGAGATACTCGTCGGAGCAAACAGTTGGGGGGAAGAAGAGAAACATGGGGAGTTATAAGGAGAAATGGCGCCGTGACTTCACCGTAGCCATCTGCTGGATGGCGTACTATCCGAACACCGACATGCTTCACTACGGGATGGATGCCGTAGAACTTGGGACATGGGATCCCTACCTCGAACTCGCGCGTGAATTGCCAACAGGAGTGTGGAGCGTACTCAACGAAATGGACCTGGACAAGTTCGAAGAGTGAGTTTCTTCGATTTACGTGTTATTGGTTCGAATTTGCCTCTAATGTTAACGCAAACGTTATCCTTTCCACCCCACTTTCGCAGCTTCAAAAATGTCACGGAGAAAATTCGGGCATGCGTGGACCGCGGAGAGCATTGGGAGATCGCCGTTTGCGTGGGGATTGGACAGGCCCTCGTCCATGGCAGCACTGCTGCGGAGTCCCCCCCAACTGGTGTAAAGACCGCGGTCTATGCAGCAGGGGTTGCAGCATCTCTCTACACCCTGTGGGCAGCATCGACCGGCATTCCGATACAAGACTGGGCGGAGGGTGCAGCTGCGGCAGCCCGTGGGACACTGGCCCCTCCAAGGCTTGCCAGTCGAGCAGCGTGGATTTCTCGCATCGGAATCAATGCTCTGGTTCGAGTAAGGGACTGCGTGCATGGTCGGACCGAGTGGGAAGGGGTTATTACTGATGTGATTGTCGGCATCCTGGATCCCGAACCCTCGGATGACCCGGAGGTTGTTAGCCTGGCGAAAGTGGTTGCTCGGGTGGTGGTGTACTGGAGCGAGTGCAACTTGGCAGCGGCAGGACTTAAAGCGTTTCAAGGGGGTTTGCTCAACTTTCCCCCGGTCTCACGGGGGCAGAAACGGAAGGCGACTGCAGAAGAGAACGCGAATGCGGCTGGGGAGGCGAGTGCAGGAGGGAACGCGAATGCGGGAGGGGAGGCGACTACAGGTGGGAACGCGAATGCGGGAGGGGAGGCGAGTGCCGCAGGGAACGCGAATGCGGGACGGAACGCGAATGCGCGGGGGAACGCGAATGCGCGGGGGAACGCGAATGCGGGAGGGTCGGCGAATGCAGGAGGGAACGCGTGAATGTCGGCATTCTAGATCCCGAACGCGCGGATAGTGCTAGAACCATGGCACTGTAGTATGGTGCATGCTTTGTTCTTCGAGACTATTTGACACGTAATTACTGAGCTGTGTTTTCGACTTGCATGCTCTGGTCTATAGTCTGTTGTCTGTACTATAGTGTCTTTGATGCTTTGTTTTCGAGACATTGTGACTATGATGTCTGACGGCAACCAACATGTGCACCCGAACTCACTAATTCTGGGAAGCCAATCGCGGGAAGTCCGGGGAACCAACCTGCGGCGAGAGTTCCTAAGTACCAACCCGCGAGAATACCAGGAAACCCAGCCGCGGGTGGGGCGCGGAAGCCACCCGCGGTTATTCCTAAGAACCCAACCGCGGGTGTTCCTAGAAAGTAGTTTTTCTACTTCCCACCTCTCGTGTCTGTATGAATGACGCCTGTATGAATTAAGGACGCGGGTGCCAAGTATGTGTTCGCCTTTTTCATTGACCGCGTGTTGTTTTGTACAAACATATTCCAACAAAGTTGTACTTATCAGCGCATGCAATTTTGTCAACCAAACCCTAATCACGCGGAAACACGATACAAGAGTCCAAAGGAACTACCAGCACACACTAGCATGAGCAGCAGCAACTAACCGGAAAAAAAAGTCAGCAACACACAAAATGAACAACCGCTGCCAGTACCACGAAGTTCTCAGGCCAACTCCTCGTTGCTTTCGTAGCCGCCCAACAAAATCGGGTCATTTTCGTCGTCGTCCTCGTCATCGTGCTCTGCCTCATCGCCCTTCCTCACAATCTTCTCGGCCGCGTCCCCTTTCTTTCCTTTCCCACGCATCCCCCTCTTTTTCGCTGCCTGCCGGGCTTTTTCGCAGTCGAGGTAAAGGCCCACGCCTTTCGAGGATGGCCACGCAGATCCATCGTAGTTCCAGTTGGCGGCGACTTCGACAAACAGGGGCACGCAAACAGGGACTGTATTGTCTTCCGGATCCGTGTATACACTCAGCACACTCTTCTCAACGGAAGCCGCGGACAGCATCTGAGCACCTTGACGTTTCCGAATTGTCGCGTACACGTCTGCCCAGCAAGCTTTCATTCCAGACAGATTATCCGCGGTCGCGCCACACAGCTTTGCAGCGGCCGTGGCACTCTGAAGCGCAGCAGAACGATGCTCCGCGGTAACCCCTTCGAAGGGCGTTTTCGACCCACCCGTCGTGCTCCCGCGAGTGTAAGCCGAGGTCAAGCTCCACACGGCTGCACATCCGAACGCCAACGCGCCCGCGTAGAGCGCCTTCTGAGCTTTCCCTTTCACCCCCGTTTCGTCATCCGCGGCTTCAAGGCCAATTGCAGCACAAATCGCGGACTCGACCGTGGGCTTCCCCTTCGAGTCCAAGAATCCGCGAGTTGTCTTGAAAATGTTCAACATCCTGCGCGAAAATTCACCCAAGAGTGTTACGACCCACGGTTGAAAAAAGGTTGAAAACAACCGTCGTACCTCTTGTGATTCGCGGCCAATTTCCTGATGAAAATAACAGCGTAAAGCCCCGCGGTCATCTTTCGGGCGAGATCGAGATCGAGAGTCCATTCCTCCTCCTCCTGATCCGTGAGCACCAACTCAGACTTCTGCACGCGGTCGTGCCACACGGTCTGTGCCACCGCGGACAGATAGCGCGCGGGGCCTGCCCGTGGAAACGTGCCGAGGTAGAAGCGCTCGCCACCATGATGAAGCTCAACCGCGAAGGGGTTTTTTTGGCCCGGAATAACACGGACACCGACCATCGGCGTCTGAATTATCTCGGCACTCTTAGAGCCCCCCCCCTCAGCCCCACGACCAGCACCTTTCGCCGCTGCTCGCGCCTCAAGATACTTCCTCCGCGCATCCCTCGCCTCGGCCTCCTCGTCGCCAACGGATTCGTCCGCGCCCTCACTCGTGCCCGCCGCCGCACTCGCCAGCATTCCAAAAGCAACAATAGCGTCCTTTGAAGCAGCAACCGCAGGAGCGGCCAGTTTCGGCCCAGCAGTAGTCATACCAGCAGCACTCTTCACCTTGTTCGCTCGGTTGGAAGCCTCGCCCTCGGCACTCTGAGGAACAGAGCGCTTTTCGTGACGCACTGGCTCACCACCGCCCGCAAGCATCTGCGGCAGGCACTCGTCACCCGCTGCACCGGCTCCGAGTTTGGGATCCCGACCCGCGGAATTCATTTGCGTGGCAATCGGCCCAGCGTTTCCCCCGATGTTCCCCATAACTGCCCTCAGGATCATAGCCCCCGCGCCCGCACCACGCTCCGCAGCCCGCGCCACAGAGTCTTCGAGGTCGACCAGCTTGTGCCAAACCTCCGTGCGGGTCCGCTCACCGACATCGTTGATCGCGGAAGGCACAAGGGTTTTCAGATCCGCCACAATCGCCTCAATACGTGCAAGTGTGAGTGCTGACGTCTCCCTTTGCGACATCGCATTCGCCCTCTCCACACGGATCTCCTGGACCACGTCAGCAACATCAGCGCGCCCGCGCTTGTCCGATTCGTCGAGGCGGGCCTCGATGCGGCTCATGGTTAACATCCCGCGCTCAAAGGCCTCTTGGTTCTCCGACACCCAACCCATCAGCTCGGACAACTTCTCGCGCTGCTGTGCCAACTGCCTTTCCTGCGTCTTGGCCATGTCCTTAACCCGACGGACGTCGGCCTCGAGACGCATTACCTCGTGCACAAGCGTGAGGTGAGGCAAAATAGACAGCTCCTCAAACGAACGGTTGCCACTCTTGCGCGGCCCCTTTCCGACATCATCACTGCCACCAGGTCGCCCGGCCACCTCCCTTCTCACTTCCTGTACGCGGGGTGGACTGGCCTTGTTCGTGGCGAGGGCATTTCCCACGGTTCCCGCGGAAACATCTTTGCCTTTTTCTGCGGCACCGGCCTCCCTGTTGGCTCCCGCGGAATAATCACCCGCAACCTCGGTAACGATTTCCGCGTTTTCGCCAACAAGTGTCTTACTCGCGGGTGGGGATACCGTTGGGCCCCGACCGGTATCGGCTGCGCTGTCCGCAGGGAGGGCCGCATGGACAGCAGTTGCGCGAGCGCCCGAAGTTTGGCCCACGCCGGGCTCGGTCAACACGATGTCGACGGCCAGTTCACACGCGTGCCTGACGATCCTGTCCCGCATGGACTTCAGCGACTTCGTCTTGGCGGCACGGACAACAGTCAAGCGGTTCTGCAACGCATGATCCCAATCTGCCAGCACGCGTTGAAACCCGTACATGACAATCATGCCGCTCTTGGCGTTTGGATTGTTATAGTCACAATAGGCTTGAATGTGCCTAAAACGAAAGATAGAGAGCACAGACGGATTTCTGCACAGCGGCTTCAAACGTTGATAGCGTTCTGCTCACAGCTGCAAATGACTTGATTCCAATTGGATCTGGAGCGTCTTCACGTCGTATACAATTAGCAATTTAGATTGCACGATTTAATAAAGAATTGACGACACAGCGTCGGTTTGAACGAACGGTACTATGGCAGCCACTATAGTCTTAGAACACAAGATAGGAAGAGTTACGAGTTGGGAATGACTCCCAGCTCCTACAAACCCCAAGAGCCGAGGTACAGTGATGTGGAACAGTGCCACACTGTCCCCAACCACGAAGGGTCTCGAAACTACCCTTCACTAGGGCCTACACCAAGTGAAATGTTACACTACACAAAGTAATGTAACTATCTTCAATATCTTGAGGTGTACCCTTTTTGGCAAGCTTCGAAATCACTTGAGGCTTGACACCAAGGCTCGGGCTCTTCATCACAAACTCATCCTTGAGTTCTTGATGGGTCTGCTGTACACACCTGCAACACGCCGAACGTTCGACACAGGACAAAATAGAAACCGCGCACGACAAAATAGAAACCGCGCGCGAGACACAAACGACCGCGTAACACGCGTCTAGCGATAACTCGCTATTGACTCGACACACACACTCGACATCATGACTCAACATTCACACACAATTATAAGCATGAAATATATATTATCCCATGCCCTCATACCATTCCATACACACACACATTCACGCACACGGACAACAAGCCGAGTGCAAACCGTAGGGTTGCACCAACAAACTCCCCCTCGGATTGTTGGCCTTAGGATATGTTGCTCTCTCAGTTCAGAGCCATCCCAGCCAGCTTGCAACACTTCCAATGCTGCTGCTCCACCAGCCTCTTGGTCATCATGTCAGCCGGCTGCCCCGTGGTCTTCACGTAGCGCAACTCAACTTCACCCGCGGTTACCATGCTCCTCGTCCAATGCCACTTCACCCTCATGTGCTTCGTGAGTCCATGCAACACAGGGTTCTTAGCAAGAGCAATGGCACCCTGGCTGTCACAGTACAGTGGGGTAGGTCCTTGCTGCTCCTCCCCCAATTCAGCCAACAAACGCCGCTGCCACACAATCTCCCGTACGGCACGGAAGAGTGCCATGTACTCGGACTCCACCGAGCTCAAAGCTTGGTCAACCTGCTTCTTGCTCTCCCAAGCAGTTGGGCCTCCACCAACACAGCATATGAAGCCTCCCACACTTGTCATGTCCTCTGGTTCTGATGCATATGAAGCATCCGAGTAGGCGGTGAGGAACAAACGCCCGGGTTCAACACCATCCGCGCCCTTTTGGCGCCTTTGTGCCGCCGCCGAGTATTGCAGCCCAACGGTCGGTGTTTGGCCAAGATACTTGGCCACCCTCATTCCAGCTGCTACCTGCTCCTCATTAGGGCATTGCACAACCCTAGCCAGCTGCCCGGTAGCAAACGCGACGTCCGGTCGGGTGTTTACCGCCGCATACATGAGGCTGCCCACCAACGAGTGAAATCGGCGCCTCTCCTCTTCACCAACGCTCTCCTCCTCTGGTCCCTTCACACACTTGAACCCAGAGGGAAAGGGTGTAGCCACATGGCCTTCACTCTGCCCAAAGTTGGCAGCCAATGCCTCCAGGTACTTTCGTTGATGCACCCGCATGCACCGCTTCTCCACATCTCGTTCGATGTGGAGCCCAAGGTAGAAGCTCACGTTACCAAGGGCCTTGCACTTGAACTTGTCTTGAAGCTTCAGCATCACCTCCTTCACAAGGTCAGAAGAGGGTGAGAAAATGAGGATGTCATCCACATAAACCACCATGAAACTCCTCTGCTCCCCCTCGCCAAGCATGAACAAGGAGTGATCGGCCGTTGAGGGAGTGAAGCCGATCCCCTCCAACACTTCGCGCAGCTTCATGTACCATTGCCTAGGGGCCTGCTTCAGCCCATAGAGGGCCTTCTTCAGCTTCCACACTCTGCCACTACCATCATCAAACCCCTCTGGCTGCGCCATAAAAATCTCCTCCTCAAGGATGCCGTTAAGGAATGCCGTTACGATGTCCATTTGCTTTACTACCCATCCTTTGATGGCGGCTCCCGCGAATAGGGTTCGCAGCGTCGTCGGCTTCACCACAGGGGCAAACAGCTCCTTGAAGTCCACCTTCTCCTTCTGCTGGTACCCCTTGGCTACAAGCCTAGACTTGTAGCGCTCGATCTTGCCGTCGGCATCCGACTTGATTTTGAAGAGCCACTTGGACGTTATCGCCGTACGCCCCTCCGGTAGCTCCACCAATTCAAACGTGTCATTCTCCTCGATGCTCTTCAGCTCACTCTCCATGGCCTTCTTCCACTCCTCAGCATCACTACTCTCCAAAGCCTCCTTGAGAGTTGCTGGTTCTCCCGGCATCTCCACCGGAGAGAAGAACGCGAAGGCACACTCCTCGTAGTCACTCTCCTCGTCGTCTCCGACCATCATTGCCGCTCCGGCCAGGGCTGTCTTGCCCTGCTTTCCCGGCGCATCATAGGTCAGCCTATTAGGGGGTTGAACTCTCCTCTTCCCCCTTCCTTCCTCCTCAGCTGCAGGGACTTGAAGGCCTTGGCGTTGCTGCGGTGTGGCTCGAATCCGTGGAGCACTCGTAGTACGGGAAGGGAGTGACGATGCACGCTCGCTCACTTGCTGCACCTCCTCCTCTTCTTCCTCTGCATCATTGGCCTCCTCTCCCCCATTCACAAGGGAGGATTGCCTTGTGGTTGTGCTGCCGCTGCTCAGTTCCAAAGGCAGCTCCACATGCTCCAAACCGGAACTCTTCACCTCCCCAAACCGCACGCCTATCTTCGCCTCATTCTCCGCCTTCCAATCCTTGTACATGAAGTTCTCCATGAACTTGCAGTCCCTGCTCACCAAGAACTTCTTGGTGAATGGGTCCCAAAGAAGCCATCCCTTGCTGTTTTGAGCCATGCCCAAGTGCACGGCCCACACCGCCTTGGCACCAAGCTTGTTGTGCCGAAGATGCTTAGGCACGAGCGCCATGCACATGCACCCGAACACCCGAAGCATATCCACCTTTGGCTTCCTTCCTAGCCACTCCACATAGGGCACCCATTTGTCTGCTCCCACATGAGTCAAGGCTCTGTTCTTGGCCACACACGCGCTCCGCACCGCATCAGGCCAGAAATAGTCGGGTAGCCCGGCTTCAATGAGCAACCCGCGTGCCGCCTCCGTGATTGTGCGGTTCGCTCGCTCGGCGATGCCGTTCATTGCAGGGGAGTATGGCATGGTGAGGGAGTGCCGAATGCCATTCTTCTTCAGCCACAACCCAAACTCCTTGCTCAGGAACTCTCCCCCTCGATCGGTGCGGATTGACTTGACTAGACGGTCTTGTTGCCGCTCCACCATCGGGAACCAATCCGTCTTCAACGTTTCAGCCACGTCGCTCTTCTTGGCCAGCACGTACACCCAAGTCATGCGGGTGTAGACGTCGACAATGGTGAGAAAATACTCAGCTCCAGCAGCTCCAAGCTTCAGGGGGCCCACCACGTCCATCACCACCTCATCAAGCGGTGCCTTTGCCGTTGCCTCCGAACTAGGGAACGGAAACCGGGTGAACTTGGCTTGAATGCACGTCGGGCAGCCAAGCACCTCATCGGGCTCCCCCTTCACACGTATGCCAGCAACCATCTCATTCTTCACTAGCTGCTGCAAGATGGGCAGGGCCACATGCCCCATGCGCCGATGCAAGGTGAGCCAATCACACTCCCCCGTAGCCGAAGTTGGATTGGAGAATGCCGCGCTCGCAATAGCGCCCCACATACTCTCTCCGTAGTCCTCCTCCGCTGCTGCCTCTGGGTTCTCCTCACCCTTTTGCTGCTCCTTGGTTGCTGCACCACTCTCCTTAGGTTCACTGAACTTGCTGGTCCCTCCAGGTTTGCTCTTCTTGAGCTCATTCTCCTTAGCGCGACCGTTCGCGCCATCGTCGCTACCGACCGCTCCATCCTTGGTGCTGATGCTTGCTGCCACTTGCCTCTCCTTAGGCATAGGGACCACTGGGATCTGCCACATCTCGTTGTAGACATCCCTGTCCTCATGAAGGTCCCAAAGAATTCGATCGCCAAGCCTTGCGGTGTAGGTCTTGGCTCCCTTCGAGTTCGTGTCCATGCCGGCCTTTGCCAACCGCCGCACGGAAATCAGGTTTGCAGCAAGGCTGGGCACCCAAAGCACGTTCTTGAGGCCCACCATCTTCCCATCAGCACCCTTGAACATGGCCTTGCCCATGCCTTTCACCTCTGCTCGCTGCCCCAAAGCCGATGTGACATGCTTCACCGGTGACGGCTCGAGTTCGGTGAGCAAGTCCGGGCGAGGTGTCATGCTATAGGTAGCGCCACTATCAATCACCCAATAGTCCAGGGGGTGTAGGGTCACCTTCCCCACAGCTGCTGGCTCCTCAAAGCCTTCATCCTTCTCTGGACCAGCCGGTACTTGCGTCGACACGAAGTAGAATAGACCCGGGTATCGATCGTCGCTCGGGTCCTTGTCGTTGTCTCCGCTCTTCATGTTTGCAGCTCCGCCACCGCGACCGCCACGGCCTCCACGGCCTCGTCCTCTCCCTCCTCCTGCTCCTCTACCCTCTTGGCCTTGAGCAGGGGTCCAACCATCAGGGAGTTTGTAGCAGTCGCGCCACATGTGTCCGCTCTTGTGGCAATAGTGACACTCGCCGTCGAATCGGCCGCGACCGCGTCCGTAACTCTTGTCGTCGCTGCCGTAACCGCCACTCCTGCGGCCTCCGCCGAAGTTGCTGCCACCAAACCTTCCTCCCCCTCGTCCTCTGCCTCTTCCTCGACCATATCCACGGCCGATGCTCGCTGCCCCAGCGCCATCCGCACTCGCCAACTCACGGCGGCGGAAATCCTCTTGAAGGATAGCTCGCTTCACGTC